TTAGTCACAAGGACAATATAAGAGCCTCAGTCCCTTCCCTAGCGGTTCGGCTGACAATTTGGCCGTGTGCTAGCTGCACGTTAACGGTCAATCAATTTCGTCTAGTTACTGAGGAGCCATGTCATTGCCAACGAACTAAGCCCAGTTCTGGTTTCTCCCAAGTATGATAAAATCATAAACATTCCAACAAATAGTGTTATTGTCGCTTCAGCATGCTTTCACATGACTAAACGAAGACTTGGCCCGCCGTTGGAATCCACTAAATAAAGTTGCCGATGTCAACGTCTATGTTAGACCTCGATCTGTAACAATACCGCAAACTAGTAGACCACAGAAGCTTAAAAACGATGCCGATATGGTGAGGAGTGCTCAAGTGCACAGGGTCGTTTTCTAATTTCCCCATCCAGGTAGGGCCAATAGGCTAGGAACATCTAGGCTCATTAATTTTGCACTCTCTGCCTGCTCTTGTAGAAGGCATATTCACTCATTGCTTAGGCTCACTTCTGGTTTTCGATAATGATGCTGTTATGAAAGTACGAGTACGGAGACAGATGATGGGCGCCACATACCTACGGCACTGCCGCGCCAGTAACGGATGTAGTCCGTTGTTCAGCACGGAACCTCGGCAGAGAGATCTACGGATCACCAACTCGAGTCAATACCCTTGAGTTGAAGAACACCGCAATAAAAAAAAATCGGGCACCGCTGCAGGCCCACAGCGGTCGTTTCGAACAACCAATGTGGCTGAGACAATGGCAAGGGCCACGGCTATGGCCGTGTTTGCCTGTTTGGGCCTTTCAGTACAAGTCGCCGACAGATTCTTGACCCAAACTAGTTCTGACGAGATCTGCTAGCAATACGAAGATGGCCATAGCTTACCTCTGTACTATGTATATCCGCAGTAGGGCGGCGGAGTCGCTGAGGCTTTGATCATCGGCCTTTTAAATGAGCGAGAACGACTCAGTATCTCCTCCTGTCGATAATTCTATGGAGTATTCGTACCTGCATGGGATCTATCTAGCCAATGGCGGAGCTCTTTGGCTTTGGCTGAGGTCCTCCGGCACCATGTGTTTCAGTCACAATGCGCTGCGCGAATTCACACCATTTTGAAATAGTTTTAATGATGTTCGACTCCAATTTTCTGTCTGGTCCCTTTCTATAATATATGTACATGTATCATAAACATTCGTATGCATCGTATCATGGTATCTCTGAGCAACCTGTGCTTGTTGTGCGCGTTCACTGAACAGCGACGGCGGTCTTGCCAGTGCCGTATCCAATGTTGGTAACAGGCAGGGTGGTCAAAGTCTTGACGGAGCCGAGGCCACTAGGGCAGGCAGCCTGGTTGCTGACAGCCAGGTTAAGGGTGCAGACCTCATCGACACCCCAGGTGCAAGCAGGGTTCTGGATGTTGTAAAGAGCGTAGTTCTTGGCGACGAAGCTATCGGGCTCGGCGAGGCAGGAGGTAAGGTAGTTCATGCTGTTGGCAGCAGAGAGAGGGAACTTGCCGTCCTTGAGAAGGTGGCTGCACTCGCTGGCATCGACGGCCTCCCAGTTCATGAGAACACCGCCGCCAATGGTCGGGTCCTCAGTGGCAGACTTGCCGGTGGTGAGGTAGTTCCAGGCGTCGTAGGAGATGTCGAAAGCACCGCCAGATTGGTCGATGCGGAGGAGGTGAACGCTGCGGTCACCGTTGGAGACCTTAAGACAGATGTCGTTGCAGCTAAGAGGGTTGGGCCAGTAGGCAACGCGGTTGGTGTCGATCTTGCAGCCGAGGACACCAATGGAAGAAGAGTAGGAGTCGTGGGGCGTCATGCTGTATGAACCGGACTTGCCGGCGTCCCGGATCGGGATGGTAGCGGCCGAGACCAAGGTAGCCGAGACGGCAAGGAAGGTGGTCAAAGTGGTAGAGAACATCTTGACTGAAGTTGAAGGTGATATGTGGGTTTCTTTCCGAAAAGGGTTGTGTAGTTTATATGGCGGCCAGGTGGACGACTGTCAAAGATTCGAGGCTGAAGGTGGTATGGACTTTCACGTCGAGGGACAGGAAGTTTGGGCTTGCGAAGGAGTGAAGCTGCTGGTTGAGCGTTCAAAAAGAGTGATGCCTGATCTGGGAGCTTTCAAAGCTGGCCGAGAGAATGACTGGGGAAAGAAGAAGAGTTGAAGAGGGAGTGTAAGGATGGTGGTGGTGATCAGAACAAGACCATCCCAGAAGAAGATGAGACTGGGGGATTATATACCAAATATCATCCCTACAGGAGACGAGATGAAAACGTTAAACATCAGCCGGAAAGATGAGATGTCACTCACACGTGCTGGCAGTCAGTGCCATGTCAGGCTTGCTATTCCCTTCGGTCCATCTGCGGAGGCCCACGTAGCAAGGCGCTGTGTCCCCACAGACGCCGCAATCCTCCACGATGACACTGCGCCTGCACAGCTGGACTTGGATCCTTTGAGTCTGAGCCTGGGATGGGAGGGGCCGCAGAGGACCGGAGACGTTTGTGTGCCTAGAGTCTTTGAAGAGAGTCAGCGACTCCAGCGGACCCGCAAAGCAGGAGTTGGCGAGTCGGGTTCGTTGTTCAATCAAGGACTGCCATGAATCTGACAGAAAGAGGCCGTGGAACCTTCAGAGAAATCTTTCCCTACCCCTCATTACGCTGCGGTGTTACTGTCAGAAACAAAGTGAGAAACTTGAGTTTAGAAAGCCCTAACGGGAGGCCCAGTCGCGGGAAACATTACACTAGGCAAGGTCCAAGGAAGACACATGGAGTTTGTCAGTTGGTTAGGCGCTGGGATTCAGCCAAAGTCGGAGAGCAGACCAGGAGAAAGACATGGCCAAGGCCCAACAAGGAAAGGGGGGTGCGCTCTGTCAGGGGGTGAAAATCGCTCATGGGTCGCCAAGGGGCCCGGATTAGGTTTAATGACAGGAACGGCTCAGGAACCAAACGCTCTTTGGCTCGTGCTAATCCATAGTTCAGGTCCCGACTCCCAAGTAAAAGGGAGCCAAGGGGCGGTACATCGGCAAGGCGTCGGCCACATCTCATGCCAGCACGGGAGTTGTGGGCGCTGTGCCTCTTGGAGCCTCGAGGGAACATTGAAAGAGGGGGTGGCCTCGGCGGCCAAGGCCCAAGGGCTGAGAAGGATGGCCTTTGAGATGACGGCGGATGCAGGTACAGTACAACACAGCGCAACGTCCGGGAACCTGGGCGTATGTACATACTGCCGAACGGGAGGGCGAAAAGAAACCGAGCAGGCTTGACTGGTTCGAGAGGGAAGGGAACCCGCCGCCACGCGGTTCCAGCCCTGACGCTTGACTCGGCGCGGAGGCGCGGACGGGTCACCCGCAAGGACCGGAGTCTGCTTCTGGCCAGTCGGAAGATAGGGATTCCAACCTAGAAACAAACCACGAGTCCACGACATGCCTAGTGTGCAGCGATCGACAGGGCGGGTTGTGCTACGGTGCTAGTTTTTCACAAAATGGTCCCACAAGGCTCCAATACCTGAGCCTGCTTTTGCTTTTTGCTGTGCCGTTTCGGTTTTTCAAGAACTCCTCCAACAAGTCACAAAGTCACGGACAAGTCTCACGGGTCTCCAACAGGCTCTTCCACTTGCCCCGAAAGTATGGATCACCGGGCACATAAAGTTGGAGCCAGTTGGCGGGCGTGTCCGCTTTGCCAACTCGCCAACACCTTCTCCGCGTTGGTAACCGGGCGGGACTTGACGGGTACGTGACGGCCAGTTGGCGTCATGTCGAACAACGGATGGAGGGGTAAGAGGACCAAGACGTGTGTTGAGTGTTCTAGCCAGAAGTGCTTGCAGCTTGTACCAATCTAGTGGGGTTTCCGTCTTTTGCCAATGAGAAACTTGGTTTTGTGAGCAGAGGGATTGGAAATTGTTAGAGGCTACTTCTTTTGACGTAAAGGAAATGCCTCGCCGCGGCTCACCGCGACGGCGGCGAAGTGGCACGCAACCGGCTGGAATGCAGGCTCTTTTGCATTCTTTCTTTCTTTCTCTCTGGACAATGCTTTGTAAGTTGTAACTGTCAGATTTTTTCTTCCTTTCCTACATCCCAATAGGTCCGAAAGGATCTTTCTGAGCGATTTATGTCCGTACCTTGCCCGATCCCGGCACGTTTCCGAGGTCCAAGAAGTACTTGGAGGAGGTCTAGGCCGTTTCCATCTCATGATATTTCCATCACCGCACATGCACGGAGAATCCTCCGCTGCTGAATTCTGTCAGCGCCATGCTGTGCGACTTCGGCAGTTGTTGGCACCTCACCATGGGCTTAGTCATAATTGTTAAGGGCTCTTTGCCTGGGTAAATTGTTCTTCCTCTCATCGGACATCCTGAGGGATTTCCAATGCCACTATTTCTGAGTCATCCATCGAGAAATCACTCATGGGTCCTGAAGTCCGCGTAGCTGCTGCAAACGGACGGACCGGCGGCTCGACCAACAAAAGTCTCATTGAAACAAACTTCTGCACCACACAGACGGACCACTGAATAAACCAACAGCTACTCTTCGGCAGTGTTGTTCGGTAAAACTTTCGGTAACACGCAAAAAAAGAGGAAGATTAACAACCGGGGCTAACTAAGCTTAAACGAATGGAGCCCAGCCAAGGAACTGAGATCCGACGTAAGAAGCTCAGCCATTTGCAGAAAGTTGCGATTTCCCCAACATCTGAGGCTTGAGCAGTATGCATTCCAAATTCACCGAGTTGTTGTTGGACCCTTCTTTGCAATAAGTGCTCCGACACCATATTTAACTGCTTTAGTGCGAAAAGTAATATCAGGGTCAGCAGGCATTGCTGCGACTTGAGCAAATGGCGGGGCTGCAACGACGAATTGCAAGGGCGCGGCATCGACTGAAGGTAATGATCGTATGTGAGTCGCATCAACTCCATTCATCGCACAATGCTAAGAAAAGCTGCATTTAGGCAACTTTGAGATAGAGGTTTTCTATTTATCATTTTCTGGAATCTTATGACTTTTGCGAATTCTCAAGCGATCATGACCAAGCGACCGCTTGAGTCGCCAACTGAAGTCTGAGCTAGCACCACAACCATGAACTGATCTCTAGCAACCTTACCCTGAACTGGGTATCTCTCCTTCATCTTCTTCCGTTCCAGCATTCCAGACCATTCCCATTGGCTATCCTTGAGTGTGGGAGACCTCATCAGATCCCCGTTAACAAACACTTGCATCGATGCTGCCTCAGACGAATTGTCGACTTCCAAAAACCCACTGAGAGCGACGTGACGTCTTTCCAAGGTTTCCGTCGAAGCATCATCTTCTACGTCCACACAAGAGACGAGCAACTCCAGCTTCCTATGCTGCTTGACAGAACCTTGATTCGTGTTGACTTGAATCAGGTCCGTGTCTAGCCGTGGCGCCAATGAGGGGCTCTCTCTTCGCTCCTTCGAGGACTCAAACGCATACGCATAACGTAACAGGTCGCTGTCACTCCAGGCCTTGCCCGCGAATGTCAACCCCACAGGGATTTTCTTGTCATACAGCGATCCCATCGGCACAGTGATGGCGGGCACACCCAAGTGCTTCATTGTACGATTGCCATTGGAGTACTTCAACCCGTCTCGTAGGGAGTATGCCATAGACTCACGGTTGTCCTCGGAATCGGCTCTTCCGACGTCGCCATTTGTGGGAAAGACGACAACATCGAAGCCATTCTCGTCCATCCAGTGTTCCAAGTCTCTCTTACGAGCCTCCTCAAGCGCGATCAACGCATCTGCGCAACCTGGCAGATCGTAGATAGAGTTGGGCCGGTCGCGGATGAAGTCAATCATCTCTGCGTACCGGACATGATTCTGCTGTTCGGTGTGTTCCGACCGATCATCCAACGGCGCAAAGTCGGGGTTGATCTGGCTGTGGTCAACGCCTTCCAGAGAAGGGCACTCGGGATCGCTGTTGTTGCGCAGAAAGTCATCCCAAGCGGTGGCAATCATCTGACACCGCTCAGTATCAATCCAGGTACTCGGGATGCCGGGCACATTAGCAGCTTGCCCAGGAAACAGTTGTGTCGAGTAACGCTCGACCAGAGGGAAATCAGTTTCGGTGATTTTAGCACCCAGCGTCTCAAGGTCAAGTCGAGCTTGCTCCCATAGCTGCCGAGTGGCTTCTGAAAAGACCACAGAGTATTCGGATGAAGTTTGCTTCCCGATGTAGCACTTGGGTACAGCAACATGCTTTCCTCGCAACGCCTCCGGATCTTTGAGAGATAAATAATCCCTTGGCCGGATCTTGGAGCTGAGTGGTATGGGCACAACCGTCTGCTCGCGCCAAAAGTCACCTCTGGGGTGCGCATCATCGGCAACAATGGCGTTAAGAAGCGCCAGCATGTCAGCGACAGACTTGGTGTGTGGTGCGACAACATCACACGTCGGGTACAATGGCCAATGGCCGCGAGAAGGAATGACGCCTCTTGACGGTGAGTACCCCACCAGCGCGTTGTGCGAAGCTGGCGCTCGACCAGATGAGACTGTCTCACCACCGAGACCAATAGGGGCGAACGAGCATGTCGTGGATACGGCGGATCCGTATGAAGAGCCTGACGCGAAGCTGGTGCACAAGTATTTGGGGTTGTAAGGGCTGATTGAACGGCCGTAGAGGCCTCGCTGACTTCCTCCGTCGGCCATGGGAGGCATTGTGGTCTTCCCAATCAGTACTGCTCCTGCAGCCCTCAGTAGCTCGACGACCGCGGCATCTGAAGACGCAACGAGGCTTTCGAAAGCTGGGGACGCAGCTGCAACTGTGAGACCCTCCACCTTGTAGCTGTCTTTCACGGTGAACGGAATCCCTTCCAGAGGCCTTGGAGGACGCCCTGATGCGCGGTAAGCGTCCGAGGCCTGTGCCTCATCGAAGACTTTGGGGTTGATGATGCAAATGGAGTTGAATGATGGCCCGCGGTGATCGAGTTTGCCGATTCGATGGAGGAAGCGCGCGACAAGGTCTACGCTTGAGATTTGAGAATTAATCAGCGCATCCTGTAGTTGACATATTGACGCTTCGGTGATGTTGAGGGATTGTACGGCCTCCATAATGCTTGGTGTCTTGTGAAGAGACTTGCACACTGGTAGAGGCTCAGGGTGACTTAATAGGTGCCGACTGGTTGAGCAAAGAAACAGTACATGAAGGGTAAATCAGGATTCAGAGTTCGAATATCTTCAAAAATGAGTTTATATCCCTCTTTTCTTTTGGCCTATCCAGTCTTCATCGCGAGAGTCTCGTATGCTCACTCGACTGTTGGGACGGAAGGTCGAGACGGTGTCAGTAAAACGAAGGCCGAAGCGGGCATGGAATGTCGAGCCGGAACGCCCCAGTTAAACACGCCCCAACGGTGCAGCCAACGCAAGTTGATTCGTCCTAGCTCTAATCCGACGCTAGCGATTCTCCGGGCCTCAACTTGTCTCTTGAATCTATTCGCATTTTCTCGGACATCGAGGCTATCCACTTCACTGATGTCATGATAGCAGATGATAATTAGTTCCTGTTATAAATTGAAAATGGGCCAGTGGAAGAATTGGTGGAATTCATAATGCGAAGTTTCGCGCAAATATGACCGAGCACTAGGTGTGCATCCAAGGTTGCGACAAAAGAGAGGTTTTGATCTTTCTGCCTTTCAGCTTTCATTATGAGAAAGTTCGGGAAACAAAAAAGACACCAATGGTGAAATTGATGGTTAAAGCAAGTCATAAAGTATGTATGAGGCCCTCACTTGGGGCGAGCTCACCGAGGTAGACCGTAGAGCTGGGCTAGCGAGTTCGGAAGGAGTAGGTGGCGAGTGTTGCACCTGTGACGGGAAGGAATTAATGACAGTCTATTGATGTGATGGAACAACTCTCGCAGTTGAAATAAGGGATGTAAATTCTATATGCTAGATTTTGATAGGCAGCAGCGTTCCGAAGAGCAAATCGTGGCACAAATGGATGAAACGTACTTTGTCCGAGGTAGGTAAATTCTCTTTACCCACGGTGAGCCTAAAACTCTTGAATATGACATCAACTTGTACCAAAACGCACCTTCGGAGTTATACGAGGATCATCGCAAGCATTATATTGTGAGTGCAGCATGCTGGGGCCCCGGCTGTGAAGGACTAGCTTAAGCATATGGGCTGCGCAAGGTCGCAAGGGTGACAACTAGTACACCTGCTCCTCAGGAAGCCCAGCCTTAGTCAAGAGGTATATAAGTAAGTTTAAGTAAAAATGTCCGACTCGTAGCTTAGTTGGTTACTTATTATGCCCGGTAGTCAAGACGGACTAGCCCGTAGCATCACCAATAAATTGATGTTGCATGACAACCTTGATGTTCCTTCATGGAGGGTAGTAGTAATCACTGGATTGATAACTCGTTTGCAGTATTTCTTTAACTGTCGGCAGAAAACTTCTCACACCGGAGAAGCTTTATATACTTTACTTCTAGAAGGAATGGCTGGGCTTGGCTCGGACTTGTTTCGCGTTTCAGTCCATGACAAGACTGTTCATACACCGAAATACGAAGCTATGAAAGGGGAGTTTTCGTCATTAGGTCTCTGCTGCACCCATATTTTATTGTCAGGGTTGCGTATTGGCGTATTTATTAGCTTTTCTATTCATCACCAGCAATGTTGGAGGATGTTGACCAATCAACGACCATTTGTATCCTGCGAGGGAGTCCTTCGGAACCTAGAACCCAGATTTTTTATCTTACTTCTTGATATGTTCTCGTCTCTCGTAAAATGGTAATCCCGAATATCAAGATTGTCGACGAACTTTGATAAAATTCCGAGCCAAACTTGATCTTTTGCATTCAAGAATCTGAACATGTGCTTTTGCCAAAATATGGGTGTCACTCATCTTGGACACCCGTACTTTTCTGGATTGTCCACGCGCCGGCAAGCTGCCGATAGACCCACTCTTTATGGCTGGTGGATCAAAGAGCCAAGCAATGCTTGATCTCCTCGGAATTGTGGCCCGAGGCTTGGATGTCACGGAACGCGGTGCTGACGATGAGCTTGGCACTAGCAAGCGAACCCGTCTTTTAGATGATAAGGATGTAACATATTAAGCACTGGGAGGTTTCCCATGAAGTAAAGAAATGAAATCTGACATTACCTAGAACCCGAACTTTGGATGTTGCTGCTGAAGTATTTCAAAGAATGAAGACCGCACGTAGTCCAACTCGTGGTTGACTTTGACCAGCGTGGATCCTTCAAGTACAGTAGCTTCTTAATCGTCATGCAACATCGCAATTTTTCATCTTGGCTAACGTGCTGTTTTAGCGAACGTGCTGTTTTAGCGACAAAAGCCCCTCGTTGGACATTCGTCAGACCTCGTATTCATCCCACTCAGAAACTTAGTTAGGGTGAAATCCTACAGCGTTTCCCGTGCATATTGTGACACTCGCGGGTTCACTCCGTGCATGTTATTGATCCCACCCCAGCCGGAGCAGCTCACTGTGTCTTGATTGGGACGACATTGCCGATCTGCGCGAATAGAAAAGTGGGGTATGATCAGATAAGATGATCTAATCCATCAATTCCATCCTTCCTTCAAAGCTAAAAGAGTAAAAACAGCCTGTTGTACGGTCATCTTCAGCAACAGGCTTTCTTGGCAATAATGTAAGGTTACAGAGATGGGGAACCTCAATGACACCTTGGCCAGATCCACCCGTGGGGATGGTCCGAACAAAAGAGGACGAAATCGTTTCGCATCTCGATTTGAGTGGTTGCCTATTGACATTTTGGGGTATGGTGGGTGAGATGGGAATTTGCCAAGTGGGTTGATGGATGACGGGTACGCTATCTGACGCTATCTCCCCAACGTTTGGAGATCACGAGTAAAGGCTCCCACACCCTTGTCCTTCCCTACCAAATCTGACTTACATGGGCTTTTAGCCTTGATTTCTCTTTTCCCGAGGCATTTGATACGATCCTGTCAATGTCAATCAAGTCGCTAAGCTGTTCAATATTCGGTATTTGACACTGCACAGTTCACAAAAATGGACGGCTTCAAGCTCCCCGAAATCCCGGCCTTGACCTTACAAGAAGGCGTTAAGAAGGACGAAGTTGACGCGGACAGGATTTCCAGTGAATGGCTCTCCGAAATCGAGAAGCGGTTCGCCGAAAAGTCTTTCAGCGACATCTCCGACTTGTTCATCGACGACTGCTGGTGGAGAGACATCGTCGGCCTTTCATGGGATTTCACCTGCAAGCAAGGCCAAGACAACATCAAAAAGTACCTAGCCTCAGCAAACCATGGTCTCTCTGAGCTGCAGATCAACAAGCTTGGCGGGTTGAAGCCATTGCTCCTCGACTTTGACGGCATGGTCTGGATCCAAACTGGCTTCACCTTCCGGACGCCGCATGGCGAAGGAAAGGGGTTGCTCAAGCTAGGCAACACTAGCAAAGATGAGTGGAAGGCATGGACTGTCTTTACGCAGTTGGAGAAACTCGATTTCCAGAAGGAAGTCGAGGCACGGCACGCGGCTTCGGTTCCGACGCCAAAGGCGCCCGTCACTAATGGTGTCAACGAGGTCAACCGAGTCAACGGCATCAATGGACACGCCCATGCAGAGCCCGAGGAAGACCTGCAGGTTCTGATTGTCGGCGCAGGTCAGTCTTCATACTCAGCTTTCCATCTTCTTCTCTCGCTAACACAAGACACACCAAACAGCCCAAGCCGGCCTGATGCTCGGCGCACGCCTCCAACACATGGGCATCAAAACCCGCCTCGTAGAACGCAGCGCACGCCTTGGTGACTCTTGGCGAGAACGATACCAAAGCGTCACGCTGCATACGCCGACCTACACCGATCACTGGGCGTTCATGAAGATCCCCGAGACCTGGCCGCGGTTCCTGACGGGCGACGAGGTTGTCGAGTTCATGGAGCATTACGGCCAGCTGATGGGACTCGACATCGCCTTCAACACGGAAGTCACAAAGGCTACATATGATGAAGAGAAGAAGAGATACCGTGTCGAGGTTCGCACGCCTGAGGGAACACGGACGTTGTCGGCGCGGCATGTGGTCTTGGCCACGGGCGTGTACGGCGACCAGCCCAAGATCCCTCACTTCTCAGGTCAAGAGATGTTCAGGGGGCAAATCTATCACTCAAGGTACCACAAGACTGCCGCCAATATCCCCGATGTAACGAATAAGAAGGTTGTCGTCGTCGGCTGTGCCACCAGCGGCCACGATATCTCAGCCGACTTTGTCACGCATGGGGCCAAGGAGGTGACAATGGTGCAGCGACATCCAATCTTTTCCATCTCGCGCGAGTCGTGGGAGAACTTCATGCTCTCACTCTGGACAATTCCGGGTCTGAGTACTGAGGAAGCAGACATTGTGGGCAATGCTATACCGCTGGCACTGATACGCAGGATGAGCATCGGGTTGACGCAGGCGATGGCCAAAAATGACAAGACGGTGCACGATGGGTTGAAGAAGGCTGGGTTGGTGATTAAGGAGGGCGAAGACGGGTATGGGTTGGCGGACTACCAGCTCATCAAGGGCGGGCAGTATTACATCGACCAGGGGGCGAACCAGATGATCATTGACGGCAAGATTCGGATCCAGAGGTGCGAGGAGGGTATAAAGGAGTTCCAAGCGGATGGCCTAGTCTTGGCAAACGGTACAAAGCTCGAGGCGGATGTGGTGGTGCTCGCGACGGGTTTCGAGCAGAACATCACTACAGTCGAGAAACTGCTTGGGACGGATGTTGTTCAGAGGCTAGATGGGTTCGCGAACTTGGATGCCGAGCAGGAACGCTCAGGTGTAAGTCTAATGATGCGAATGCTTGGAAGAGTTATGCTGACTATTGTGTAGTGGTGGCGAGCCACTGGAGTGCCTGGATTCTGGTACATGACTGGCAGCTTCATGATGTGTCGACAGTTCTCCTTGCCGCTGGCGTTGCAGATTGCGGCGGTTGAGAAGGGTCTGAACACATCTTACTATGCCTAGAAGTGACAATATCTGAGGTCAGTCCTACGAGGATGATTAGAGAAGTTCGATGGGAGCCTTGGCTCCTTGGCTAGACTGGAGGATTGGAAGGGGAAAGGGACA